AATATATATGATGAACATATATTTTAGTTATTTTAGTATGAAGACGGCAAGGCATGCAGTGAAGTAGTTTAACGTAAATCGAAAAGCACCTGAAGATGGCACCTTTGTGCCGAAACATGTAGTGCAGGAGTGAAGAGTGAGGTGGATGAGTGTATGCACTGTAAGACGGCTGGAATAAATCATGGACATAAATCAGTGCAACAGTACTAAGAGGAGGCTGGAGGAACCAGGAATTTCTATCTGAGAACAAGCTGGCTCCTAAATAGATTGCCAACACCCTGTCACCGAGCTAAACTTTCTCAATACCCTTGATGTACGTTTGTGTATATACTCTATAGGAGCTGTGCACTTTAATCCATTATAGTAAACTACATATTTTCTGAGCTAGGGACTCTTTTAATGTTTCGGCAATAATGGTTTTGTGTGCAGGAGCAGGACTATTTAATGTTAATCTTGAATATTTATCTATAAAGTTAACTAAAGATGTTTATACAGATCTATTACATTAATGTGTGTTACTTTCTCTGTTTCAGAAGGTTCTGAGTTGTGCATTTGAATTACCCACAGATAAATGTGTCACAAGGCTTACACAAAAAAACCTTTACACACAGATAAGGTTTTTTGATGTAAGCTTTATGATACAATCATTTAAAACGTGTGGCAGTGAAACTGACAACACTACATCTCTGTACAAGATGTAGTGCTTACCATCGTTAGATCTGAACGCAACATAAATATAGTTCTGAGATTTGTATTCATTGTCATATATTCTTCATACAGTATACATCTTGGTAAAATGAATTTGTAAAAGCATATGCCAAATCACACAAACATACAAACATCCTTGTATAAAATTCCAGCAACTATAACCTGAACTTAAAATTCACATAATGTACTCATCAGTTTATGTTTAGTTGCAGGAAAAGCATCCATGCTCAGGTTTGGTCTGAAAAAATTAAAATTATATGAAAATCCTTGTACTTTTGAAGTCTTAAGTGATATTCATTTAAAATGCTGTGAAATACAATAAATAATGTCAGTTTATTAATACAAAATGAATATTATTAAGGCATACAAAGTCGAGATCACAGTTGCATGTCCAAAAGTAACATCACAAAAAAAAATACTCAACATACAAACAATGGCCAAGAAGAAAACCTCAATCAGTTAAGAGGTAAAATCGTATTGGATTCCACATCGATTACTTGCCTGCGCAAGAAGAGCTGTAGTGTTTCCCGGGTTCCTTGGGGAAAATAATCTTGTTTAATTGCTTGCTCTAGAGCACCCATACAACCATCCAAATTCCATGCCAATTTCATTTTCTTGTCTTCGCTCTGAAAATATTTTCAAACTGCTGACAGTTTCACTCACTATATACTTCTTAATGTACTATCATAACTACTGAAATAATTTATACACAAATACCAACATTCTTCAAGATGGTTGGTTTTTACACGAAGGGCTATAACTGACAAAACGTTTCAGAAATGCTGTTCAAAAGTAATTATATACAATATGATCTTAAAACACAATGAGATACACATATTTTTAACAAGAAAACACAGGAAACACCCCAACAAAAACAGAATTTGCTTTATTTTAATCTTTGTCACAGATGTCTGTATGAAATTCACATATTTTAATAATATTAAAAAAAAAAAGAAAACAAATCTGCTTATTATCAAAATATTAAAAATATGCATTTCCCACTGTGGTAGTCAGTGCTGTTAACCACCCAGCATGGCCAGCTATTATTATGAGGTAATATTAATTAGTGATTAACATATGTTTGCACATGTTGGGAATCCAGAAAATGGAAGATCCCATTTTTGCACGCTTGTGGGTGACTTAAGCCACTTCTTGCAGGGATGGCTGGAAGCATTGGTCATCTTACTTAGAATCTGTGAAGTTTCAAGATTTCGGCTTTTCTTTGAGAACCTGAGATTTTACAGATTCATGCTTTCATTAATTCTGGGGTACTTGGCTGTGCCATAGCTCAAGCGGTTAGTCGCTGGCTTCCCACTGCAGCAGCCCAGGTTTGATCCCAGGTCTGGTCAAGTGGGATTTGTGGTGGACAAAGTGGCACTGGGGTGGGTTTTCTCCGAGTACTTCAGTTTCCCCTGCCAATCCTCATTCCACCAAATTCTCCATCATCATAATCACCCAGGGCAGGCTACAATAGGCCAATCAGTGGCTGCCATGCCGAGTGGACCCAGTTGGACTCCACCCCCCACTAAGCGAATTCTGGGGTAGGAGTTTCTTGAACCGTTTTGGGATTATCCATCAAAGGGACTGTCTGTTGTGCCGTTGAGGGCTTAGTGTTGAGATTTGTCTGAGAAAGGTAGCTGACTGGGAAATGTAAAACTGTTGAGGCTTCCTTGTTTTCAAAATAAACCAATGGAGGATCTCCAGGGAGGCAACTTGTGACAAAAGCTGTTAGGTCCTGAGGTGTCTACTGTCTCAGAACAAGCCACTTCTACGTGGAGTCCATTTCTAGTCTTTTCAAGTAGTAGGACACAAAATCTGCACCCTTTGGAATTACTCAATTAACAAACAATTAACTATTCGGCCAACTAAAATACATTATTTATTAGTGATCAGTGTGAACCATGACAATTTATTTAGCCACTGTGGCTTAATGGAGGTACATCACATTATTAAAGTGGATTCCTGTAAACATAAGTGTAGGTATCAATGCCAGTATACATGCGTTACATAATAAAATCTTTTTCTGAGGTATGTCTGTGTGATCATGGTATGTGCATTTGCAACCAGCTTCTTTCTGTCATGTTAAGCCAGGCCTGTCAAGACCTAGAGACCACATCTCTGGCTCTGCCGATCCCAGTCAAAGCTAGTTACCATCCTGCCTGACCTTACCCCAAGATCTATACAAATCTGTAGCCACCAGACGGATACTCCTTTTGGAATAGGCCAGCCCTCGTACATTAATCCCTGTTATTAGTTACTGATTCATCCAAAATCATTCAACTTTACCTTGATTAATCCCAAATGGACTAGTAAACTGTTGTTGGCTATAGAAGACTGCTCATGTTCCTCTGCCCATTTGAAGAGTTCCCGATACAGAGCGTCACTGCATGAAAGTGCTGCCTGCTTTGTCTGTTCTGAGCTATTTGCAGTCAAAGATGACACCTTCATTAAAGTCATAACCAGCTTCTCCAAATATGAGTCATCATTACAGTCCTGTAAAGAATACACCATTATAGTAAGAATTCCCTTGTGCAGATGCTAACAAATATTGCTGATGTGACACATATTAGGGTTCTGATGGATTGCCCTACACACGGCCTTCTTCTTGTTCCTATTCTCGATTCAGCTCAAGTCAAACTGGATTTCTAGGATTTTTTTTATTGTCAGTGTGGGGGGACTAAGTCCCTTGTACTGCGGCCACTTCTGGCCTATTGTACCAGCCCCAGATGATAGGTGAGGGTGATTGTGGAGCAATTGATGGAATGAAGATTGGCAGGGGAAACCGAAGTACTCAGAGAAAACCTGCCCCAGTGCCACTTTGTCCACCACAAATCCCACTTGACCAGACCCGGGATCAAACCCGGGCCGCCACGATGGGAAGCCAGCGACTAACCGCTTGAGCTATGGCGCAACCTACGGGATCTCTAGGATTGGCCCTAGCTAGCAGTCAGTCAGTTTGCAACAGTTTTATATCTCAGCGGGATTACTGACTGACCAACCTGTGTAGAAATCTCAGGAAGGATGCTTTCGGATAGGCAGACTTCAAAATGAGGATTACTGCTGGATAAGCCTTTAACAGTAAAAGGCAATGTTCTTGGAGATGCCACAATAAATATTTGTGTACCCATAAAGTAGCATAATAGTAATTATTTCCATGAAATCCAACTGAGCAACAACCTTTCCTCCCTTATGCCTCATGATGGAAATATCATCGGAACTGTTGGCATAAACTTGAAAAGTGGATCATGTCCAAAATACCACCTTGCTAATGACAAAAAAGAATCTACATAACATGATAAGAAAATTCTGACAGCTAACATTATTTCATGTAATTTACTTATGTTCTTTATTGAAAAATACCAGTAAAATACATGGGAATTATGTAGGTTTGACCTGCTGTGTGGAAATGTCAGGTAAGGCTTATGAGAGTAATGGCAACCCATATTTGGCAGATTTTTAATTATTCCCAGTGTTTTAATTTTTACTTCTTGTTGATATCTCATCTTTCTGTATCATTCAGCTCGCAGCTGTTTACTACCGATATATAGTTTCTTTCTCTGTGTTCCTATCTTCTGCTTCCAAGTGCACACACTAATAGTCTATGTAGGCAGTTGGTCATAACGACCACAGTGCAGGCTGAAAGGCCACTCCATGCAGAGATGCAGGCAACTGAAATGGCCACAGAAGGGGTTAATGCATAAATAACATAGAAATTATGTCATACAAACAGAAAATTAAACATACCTTAATTTCTTTCATGATAAGCTCAAGCCGATTATTTCCCAAAAGTAAGAAGTGCTCTTGTGTTGGATGCTGAAGAAATTCAGGGACACTTACCTAACAAAGAACACAACAAAGTACAATGCTTAACCCTACAGGAACTGTTATGTATGAAGTAATACTGTGATGACAGTTTAATCTTACCATGTACATGTGTACACCAACCTACGCCTGTGACACGTGGACACTTAAAGAAGTCATTAAACACAGACTTTTAGTCTTTGAAAGGAAAATTCTAAGAAAGATCTTCAGGCCACCAAGAAACTATGATGGCTCCTGGAGAATTAAAACAAATGACAAACTCGATACTCTAATAAAAGGAAGGAACAGTTAACTTCATCAAAGCCCAAAGAATAAGTTGGCTTGGACACTCAAAGATGGAGGCTGGACAAACAGATAAGGGAATATATGACTGGTAGCCACATGCTATAAGAAAGGGAGGTCGACCTAAGATCAGATGACATAAGGAAAGAGCTAAAGGACTTAGGAATTTATAACTGGACAACTCACACATGGGACAGATTGATTGATCAGTAACTGTCAGATGACAGGTCCACAGTCTCTTCCAAAACAGTTCCTCCACTTAATGTGATCTTCTGTTTTTGGAAAGAGACTGTCCAGGAAAAGTGATAATGTGGTAGTTTTTCCATTTGCTTTCCACATCGCAGTACAACAGCCGTTCAAACCACTCTGGTCACGCCTGTTGCTATACGAACTTGAACCATCTCGAGCATCATTTGTTCTGTGCTTCAAGTCGCTGCTGATGACGCTGCTTCCGGCATCAGTTTTTGGTTTTTGGTGTCTCTCTTCGTCTGATGCCTACCCTTTGACCTGTCCAGCAAGGGAGGCCCTGCCAGTAGCTACGCTACCGCTGGTATAGCTCTCAGGGTCCTTGGCATACTCAAACCCCCTCACCACGATAAGGTGGAGACACCAACGAGGGGACAGAATTGAAAGGAAATTGGTGAGTAGGCCAAAGCGTTCAAGAAATGAAGCTGTCGAGCCCTATGAAGAAGATATATATGTGTACACACATCATGCCACTGTCATGTCTAGTACAAGACAATTCAACGAAATTAATACACATTAAGCACACATGCTAGAATGCCTTCATCAGTTCCAGATGAAAATTTGGAAACATTTTTAGAATTGAAATAAGAATGAGAATTTTCTCTACTGTAACAATTTATTCACTGTAATACAATTTATAAAACCCTTCTCCAATGCAAAAATTTCATAAATCACTGTATTTAAAAAATTCAATTCTATGTCATATCCTTTTTACCATAAGCAGAAGAAGCATTATTGAATAACCTACAGAACAAAACAATACTTCAAAATGTGTTAGTTATCGCTCCAAGTAACATACCACACGTGTATCTTCAACTGGTTTGTGTCCTGTAGCCTGGTTGTCATTTAATTTCACATCTTGGATCTCCTGTATTGCTTTCTTCAAATCTCCAAAGTCTACCTTCATAACTGTCCTATCTTCTGATTCACTTTCTACAGTTTCAATATCCTCTTCATCTTCCTCTTCTTCTTCTTCTTCTTCCTCCTCCTCCTCCCCCCCATCATCATCGTCATCATCTTCCTCATCTTCTCCTTCATCTTCATTTTCATCCTCACTAATAGTAAAGAATCAGTGTTAGTATCCTCTAGAGTAAAAGTAGCTTATGAAAATTAGACTGTCATATACAAATGCTGTACAGAAGTGTGAAATAATAAAACTGACAACATTTCAATTCACATTGCTAAACACTGTCAGCATTTCAGGTATTTGTTCAGTTACTGACAAAATATTCTTATGGACATAATGTAGACCGCCTCTGTGATCTAGTAATCAACAGTTCCTGGCTACAGATCCAGGGGTCCGTGTTTGATTCCTGGCGCTACCAGATTTCTATCTGAGAAGTAGTGGGTCTGGAATGGGGTCCATTCAGCCTCGTGAGGATAACTCAGGAGCTTTTTCAAGGAAATAGCAGCTCCGGTCTAGAAAACCGAAATAAACGGCCATGGGAATTCATTGCACTGACCATGTGACACGCTCTATCCACTAAAGTTGGCACTAACTTCGTCAACAAGCGACAGTTGCTCAGTCGGTATAGTTCGCTTGCAGACTAAAGCCACAGAGTCTGCTTGTAGTTTTTTTATTTTCTGTGGACATAATGTAAAAGCTCCATACATCAAGACCCTGATTTATTAAACCTGTTATAACAGAAGTATATAAAAGTGTTTTAAAATTTGCTTTCTTATGAGACAGTATCCAGCCTCTCTTCAGACACTACCAAAAAGGCCAGATAACCCCCAGCACCTCTGGTTCTGTTGTTGGATGAGTGTCTAAGACAAGCCAAAGAAGTAGGCTCATCTGCCAACTTGAAGACCACTAATACTCTATCTCAAACAAGAGAACAGTACACTACTGGGCCATTACTCTGTCATAGAGAGAAACAATACAGAACTACCAATGTCTATATTTAACAATATACTTGAAATAATGCAACAGTAAATGCAACTGAACAGTGAATAAACAATTCATGAACATGAAATATGCAAAATACATACAATAATTAGGTTCCAAANAACCTCTGCTGTGAGTTGCTTTACTCACTACATCTCCATGCCCATAACAAAGTTATTCACATGATGAAAAGCACAATACTCACACCCATATGGAAATAACACACCAGAAAGATAACTAAACTTGAGCAGACAGCAAAAAATGTAACTGAACTTGAATATATGTGGTTCAAATAAAACACATTACTCTTTCCTTGATAGAGAAGCAACCAAAAGACAACCTTACTTGTTGTGCATCACTAGAAATACAAATCAATAACAATCTTACATGCACAACAAGGGTCCTTCCAGATGATGGTGACTAGCAAACATGAATAAAGAGATTTTTAGAATTTAACATGGCAACAGACACCATACAAAAGAGCACACAGAAAAAAATGAGTACCTCTTACTGTTACATAGCCACCCAACAGAGTATCGACTCAGAACATACGGAAATACAAGCTCCAGGGGAAGGGTGAAAGAACAGGATTTGATAAGACTCCCATGACTTAAATGTCATTACAGAGAAAAAGCAGGGAAAGATGACATCAGTAGAAGTAGAAATGAGGAAGGCTGCCTGGACCTGAAATGCTATCTGAATGAGATAATCTCTTGCAGAGAGAAACCGCTCACTTCATTAACTCAATCTACTTGTATATTAACATAATCTTTAAGATTTTATCAACAATCTCTGTACAAAATGTGGGGGGAAGAAAACAAAACAAAAGAAAGTTATGAAGTTCCAAGATTTATTTATGATACATACACGAAGGTCAGTCAAAAAGTTCCCGGAATGGTGGTATAGCACTCTAATGGTATGACATATGGCAACGCTTACCTAATCACCTTCAAAGTAGGACCCTTGTGCTTACACACACACTTGCTCCATCGATCCTGCCATCGTTGGAAGCACCGGTGGACGATTTCTTTTGCATCTTCCGGATCTCAGCCGTCGCATTCGATTTGATGTCCTCCATGTTTGCGAAATGTGTCCCCTTGAGGCCAATTTTCAGAGTAGGGAACAGCCAAAAGTCACTCAGAGCAAGATCTGGAGAGTACGATGGTTGAGTGATTACAGGAATGTTTCTTTCGGCGAGGAATTGTTGCACAAGTGACGTGTGGCTTGGTGAATTACTGATGCAGAAACCACTGTCCCTGCCAATTGTCGCGCCGCTTCCTTCGAACCGCATCGCGCAACCTCTGCAAAATTTGCACGTAGAAATGGCCAGTAACAGTCCATCCAGGCGGTATGAACTCATGGTGCACCAAACCATCGATATCAAAGAATGCAATGAGCATCACTTTGTCTTTGGATATGACGAGGCGTGATATTTTTTTGGCTGGGGAGACAATGCTGTGTGCCACTCTGATGACTGCATCTTCGTCTCTGGGTCGTAGGCGAACACCAATGACTCATCATCAGTGACGATCTTTTTGAGAAACGTTGGGTCCTGTGTACTTTTGTCAAACAGATCACCAGCGGCCATCATGCGACATTCCATCTGATCCGTGGTCAGCTGCCCCGGAACAAACTTCATACTGACATGTCTCATCTTCAAATCATCGGACAAAATGGCATGAATGGATCCGTGAGAGATACCAACTTCTTGCTCCAACTCCGTGATGGTCATTCTACGATCACTCGAATCAGATGTCACACTTTTCAAATCATTTCTTCGGTTCTGGGTGTCAAAGGTCTCCTGCTGCACTGGTCATCCTCTAACGTCTCCTGCCCATTCTTAAACCGGGAAAATCAGTCGTAAACTGTAGATTTCTTTAGTGCAGTATCACCGTAAACTTGCTGCAGGGCCAACTGCGTCTCTGAAGCAGATTTTCCCAATTTGCACATGAACTTGATGTTCGCACATTGTCCAAACTGCAACTTTGCGCTGAATGACCAACACTCACATCTATGCATATTGAAACCTGTCCAGACCTGTTGCGCCTGCGAGCAGACATGCTGAGCTCCCCACCACAACAGTGTGTGCACTACCTTATCGCTCGTTCTCCATCCACAGGGGAATTCCGGGAACTTTTTGACTGCCCTACGTATGCCTTACTTATTTACATGATCTTTAACCTGTTGGTATATTAGTCTTCATATTTCCACACTGAAATTAGCTATTATTTTTCAGATGGTCTAAATATTGCACCTTCTCTTTAAGCCAGTGATTCAATGTCAGTATTTGTCAACTATTTAATACTGTTTATCATTCTTCATATTGATGCCTATAATCTAACAGCAAGGTAGCATACTTATGATACTAACATCTCTTACTTCTCCTATAACAAAACAAACAAAAACAAACTCCGTGGTTTTTAGTTCAACTTTAGCAGATAGAGAGTGTCACATGGTCAACACAACAAATCCCCACAGCCATTAATCTCGGTTTTCTAGACTGGAGCCGATATTTCCTTCCAACAGCTCCTCAATTATCCTCATGAGACTAAGTGGACCCCGTTCCAGACCCACTACTTCTCAGAGAATCTGGTAGTGCCAGGAATTCAACCCGGACCTCTGGATCTGTAGCCAGGAACTCTGACCACTATACCACAGAGGCAGTCTCTCTTCTCCTATAAGAATTTAAAAAAGAAATACTTAAATGAAAATTGAGATCCACCACACAATGACTGACTCACTTGAGGCTGCCAAGTGTACCCAACCTTCCACTGTCCTTCAGCTCTGACTGCAATTCTTGTCGGCCAGTCTCCCCAAACATATTTCCATCTAGATCCAGGAGAATTAATTTTTCTTTGTTCCTCATGGCTCTAGCCAATTCTAATCCACCTCTTGGGCCTATTTCATTGTAGCCAAGATGTAACTTCTGTCAGAAAAATAAAACACACTTAGCAATATGTTTTCTATCATGATTAGGCATAATTTCCCTCTACTAATCCCCTGATTAGCATCAATATTAACAATTCAAATATGTCCTGTTGTTATGAATTGCCAGGATTCTTCATAATCACCACTAAAGCTGACCAGTGGACCCCATTTGGACCCAAATCAATTCAACTAAAGTTAAAACTATTTCCAGCATCCATTCTCATGATGTCCTATTTACATTTCAGCCTCCCAACAGGTTTCTTCTGTTAGGTAAAAAGTAAAGTTGTCCTTGTGCCTAACTAATTAAGCACTATTTCATGAAGGCGTATGGGGGAGTGGATGTATAGATCCACATTTTCTTGGCCTCAGCACTAGCTGGAGGTGAGTGGTCATCTTCACACCCCGGTCACTTTACCCCTGGGAAAAGTGCCCCTGATTCCCATTGGATAGGAACTTGGGTGGACCCCAGAGCCGGTCTGGACAATGTGGAGAAGAGGAAATTCTTGACCTTACCGGGACTTGAACTTCAACCCCTCGGTTGTCCAGCCTGTAGGCAGCTGCTATACTGACTACACTATCCCAGCTCCTTCTTATTCTGTGAGAGCTTTCAAATTAAAATGTTTATAGTTCTTTCTTCTTTATGTACGTTACATGTTCTACTTACCTTAACTTTCTACATTTAATTATACTAACAATACCTGGTAGGGAATAAAACAATAGAGTTCTTATTACATAATTTCCTTATCACTTCATCCAACTTATGGAGAAATATTTTCCTCAGTACTTGGTTGTCTACTGACAATACTCCTCTAAGATAAAGACCAGGTTTCGGTCCCACATAAAACTATGGATGGAATTATACAGGACATCTAAGGAAGAATGACAGGCCATATTCATCTTTCAACTTGCACTGTGCACTGACATTCTCAGATTCTGAACAAAAATCTGCCTTATAGTGGTGACGATGACAGCAGTCCTGGGCTCTTCAATTTTCTTCACATCATCACTTGCTTTCAAAGGTTTCACCCATCACAGAATGCTTTTACAAGGAGATACTTTACTACAAGATGTTCTGTGTGCGCACACACACACACCCACAAAACCTCATGTTAGTCAGATGCCATTGTCAGAGCAACTGCTGACTGGTCTCCATCATCTCTCCAGCGTCACTTAGTTTGCCACATGTGCACGTCCATGTGCAGTCAGAATGACATACAGCAAAAATGATACTTCTGTGTTTCTCTTTCATATTGCAAAAACTGCACTCTTGGAGCTTTCCTGAGCTTCAGAGTACAAATTTTTAAAACGCTGCCACTCTTTCTCAGATGTCCTATACTTTCAATACTTACATATTTTACATTAATTACTATTTTGGAAATATTATGAGAAGACAGAATATTATGAAATGAACGACAGCATGAGTATCAAAAGTCTGTTCCATCCGTGATTCCATCACAAAATTTGTTTTACTTGTAACTGTTATATTATGACTATTCTGAACTTCAATTATACGTTCTGTCTTAAACTACATAATGAGGTCACATCTGTCTGTCCACAGATATCCAACTCTAAAAATACTACTGGATATAGAGGTATTCTATGTATTTATGCCCTGTAAACTCAATTGTTTTCATTAAATGTGTGGGCACGCAGTAGCGTAGTGGGTTGAGGCACTATGCTACAAGCCAGAAGGTCGTAGGTTTGAGTCCCAATGAGGTGAATTTTTTCAATTGACCTAATCCTTCCCGCTGCACTGTGGTCCTGGGGTTGGCTCAGCCTCTCAGCCTCTTAACAGAAATAAGTACCAGGAATCTTCCTTTGGGGAGGGGTGGGGGGGAAGGGGCTGTCGGCATGTATGCCTGACAACCATCTGTGAGAAAATGTGGGAGTCTCGACATCTGACAACCCTATGGGCCTTCATGGCCTGTTACAGGAACAGCTTTACCTTTTACCTTCATTAAATGGGTTCTAATATACAGAAACNTGCACTGACATTCTCAGATTCTGAACAAAAATCTGCCTTATAGTGGTGACGATGACAGCAGTCCTGGGCTCTTCAATTTCCTTCACATCATACTTGCTTTCAAATGTTCCACCCATCACAGAATGCTTTTACAAGGAGATACTTTACTACAAGATTTTCTGTGTGCGCACACACACACCCACAAAAGCTCATGTTAGTCAGATGCCATTGTCAGAGCAACTGCTGACTGGTCTCCATCATCTCTCCAGCGTCACTTAGTTTGCCACATGTGCACGTCCATGTGCAGTCAGAATGACATACAGCAAAAATGATACTTCTGTGTTTCTCTTTCATATTGCAAAAACTGCACTCTTGGAGCTTTCCTGAGCTTCAGAGTACAAATTTTTAAAACGCTGCCACTCTTTCTCAGATGTCCTATACTTTCAATACTTACATATTTTACATTAATTACTATTTTGGAAATATTATGAGAAGACAGAATATTATGAAATGAACGACAGCATGAGTATCAAAAGTCTGTTCCATCCGTGATTCCATCACAAAATTTGTTTTACTTGTAACTGTTATATTATGACTATTCTGAACTTCAATTATACGTTCTGTCTTAAACTACATAATGAGGTCACATCTGTCTGTCCACAGATATCCAACTCTAAAAATACTACTGGATATAGAGGTATTCTATGTATTTATGCCCTGTAAACTCAATTGTTTTCATTAAATGTGTGGGCACGCAGTAGCGTAGTGGGTTGAGGCACTATGCTACAAGCCAGAAGGTCGTAGGTTTGAGTCCCAATGAGGTGAATTTTTTCAATTGANGGAAGGGGCTGTCGGCATGTATGCCTGACAACCATCTGTGACAAAATGTGGGAGTCACGACATCTGACAACCCTATGGGCCTTCATGGCCTGTTACAGGAACAGCTTTACCTTTTACCTTCATTAAATGGGTTCTAATATACAGAAACAGAACCCCACTGCATTTAAAGATAGACTGAGGAATGCTTAAAATATAGTAAACTATAACAAAACGTTATGAATTAAATTGTTGGGGGAAAAAATCACGTCAACTCATGGCTCATCACTTTCCACTTTTCAAACTGCAGAATACATTCTTGACGATCACATCACCTGCAATTCCTCGTGTCCTTCAGCTAATGCAGCAGCGATTGACATTGCTCCTTTAGTCTTCAACAAACAATCACCCAGATTTATCTCCTGCAGTTTCTGCAAGTTTGGTAATGCAGCAGCCAAAGCCAAAGCTCCTTTTATCGTAAGTGTGTTGTCATTTAGGTTCAACACGCGAAGATTTGGGTTCTGTATGAAGGCTTCACTAAGTGCTGTGATGCCTACATGGTATATACCATTCTGTGGCATAGCTACTTCTTCCATCGTTCCAAGAGTCTAAACATACAAAACAGTATTATTTCTACCACCTCCCAAATCAATACAAGGTAAACTGACACATAATTCAAATTAATAAACACAGGACAAACATTTGATATGCTAAAATGGTCAGGACATACAGCAGATTATATCTGTTTCTTATGTTGTACTTATTCTTCACTGACATTCACAGCAGCAGAGGTTAAAAGAATATGGAGCATGCTAACAGTGTATAAAAAGACACCTGGTCTTATTTACTAGAGTCCCTATGAGCTTTATTCTATCGAATCTTTCTCCTGTTTTTACTTAATTTATATACAAATTGACATTCATACAAAATTTTTAAACAGTAAAAGGCAACTGAACACACCGAGGTTGTTTGAGAACGGGGTGCTATGGAAGATATTTAAACCTAAGAGAGAGGAAGGAACAAGAGGCTGGACAAAAACTGTATAACAAGAATTTTTGTATTTTGTAATCTACACCAAATAAGGATAATGTGGGTGGGGTAAAGAAGACTTAAAACTTACTGAATTGTGATATATGCAATATATAGCACTTTTTAACTGTAGTAATAGTATCAAATTAAGAAAATAATCACCTTAAATACTTCTGAAAGAGCTTTTGTGCCTTCATTTTCAAGTCTATTTCTGCCAGCAATAAAGACTTTCAAAGCAAGGGCTCTCCCACTTTCTCTGCTCTTATTATAGCAATCAAGCAAGGCTCGTGATAGCAGCTACACCAATAAAGCATATGAAACAAACAAACCAATATTATTAAAATCAACTTTCTCTAAAATATAAAAATTGTCAACAAATCCTAATCCAGCACTATCAAAGAGTTAAATGCTAGAAATAGTAGCTTGTTTACTTCCCTGAGCAATATTCTCATAAGTAAGATGCAATGTTGTATTTTACAGAGGATAATAGTATTACAAACCCATTATATTGAACTGTAATACTTTTTTTGAAGTGTTCACATTCTATCTGAACTGAATGTGTACAGCCCAAACACAAAGATGACTTCTCATTTCTGCCAAATTAAACTGTTGGATTTATGAAGTTGTGACATACCTTTCCTCCTCCAATTCCAAGACCATTGTTGTTTAGTTTGAGTATTTGAAGGGCATGACATGAATGGCTACGCAACAACACAGCAAGCCCTTCTACACCAATTGGTCCAAAAGCATTGTCACTAAGATCAAGCTCCACGAGTTGTGCTCCAGATAAAACTAGGCCACTGCCAAGAAATTGCTGTGTATTGAATACAACATATAAGAATAACATATTTAATACAAGAAAAACTACTTCACATTTATATCAAACTTACTATAATAGAAACTGGGTTTCTGACCTTATCTGTATAAAAATACACAAAAATTTGTAACAAAACACACTGCTACTAGTTAGCTGAAAGAAAATTCTTCAGACTGGAATTTTAACCCACATTTCACTTTAGCTACTTATACACTTTTATAAGTGCATTACACTAAGTGCATCTCATAGGAACGGAACCTATGGGTACTGCCTTCTCGATGGCAGATACTTCAAGTTACTGTAAGAACAACTCTTATCAGTCCACTAAAATGTCAGTTTATTTGTAGAAACTTAGCACATCGTGAATTACTAAATCCTGCACACACAAGGAATACCTAAAAATTATTATTATATATCACACTACTCACCAATGCCTTTGGAATTTCAGTTTTCACTCGACCAGTGAACATATCTTTCCATAATGCTCTTTTAAACTCACTATGAGATTCAAGAGCTTTAGCAATACCTTTGGCAGCATCGACACCCAGTGTGTTGCCTTCTAAATTGAGGTAATGCAGGTTCTGACAGGAACTAATAGCTTGTATTATCTCTCTTGCTATGAAAAGGCAAAACACATACACACAATATCAGTAAGAGGTAAGCAATCTTATAATGTTACAGACTTTAGGTATACATGTAGTGCAGACTGAAAAAAAAAGAAGAAACATACACAGAATTTCAGAGGGAGACTCTCATGAATACTGTTTACTTGTAATACTGACACAAAGCAGAAGCTGCAATAGACAGCTTTTTGAGTTTGTGGTACAGATAGCTCTGATACTCTATATTTTGCTTCACTAGGTGAATTAACTGAAACATATTTTCATGTATTTTTACTGCAGCAAGAAGTGCATTACAACAGCTACTTGAATTTTTGGTGCTTAGAAAATAATTAGTGTCTACACATACTTTTGGGTATCATGACTTGCACACATTCCTTACACAGAATGAACACATAATGGGAAGGTGGTAAACTGATCCCTGTGTCCATATGTTTCATCTAAAGATTTTAGTCAAATTTTGTGCTTGGAGGGTCTAAACTAGAATTAGTCTAGAAATTTTTCTTTTGGTTAAAATCAATTAAAAACAGCACTCCCTTACTTTACATAAAACTAAAACATTTTTGTAAGAATGACTAAACATACACAAACTTTGAGCATTAACATTAAATACAGATCTCATTAAGATTTATAACACTCCTTTGAGGTAATTCTTCAACATGGTGAATATTTAACTAAATATAAGAAAGTATAACTTCTGGCCATATAATATTAACATGTTTGCTGGTATCTGTAACATAAAAATTCTACCTCTTCAATCGCAATACATATTATCGCTTCTCTTATTTGTTGTTTACAACAAAGATAAACTCAAATTAAATTCTGATGTCTATAACATGAATACTAGACAAAAATATAACTTCCACCTACCCTCATCAACTTTATCAGTATATCAAAAAGGAGTCTTTACTGGCATAAAAGTGTTCAACAATCTGCCACAAAGTATTAAAAACTTGGGCAATGATACTAAAAAGTTTAAATCAGAGTTAAAGAATTATCTACATGCTCATTCCTTCTACTCTTTAGATGAATACTTCAATGTAAATAGAGAATGATGTAAAATTAAGTTATATTAATTTTTAAGCTAAAATTGTCTGTACTTATGTATGTAACCTTTTGACTTGTTCTGTATCCAAAGGTACTAACCTGCTTAGGATTTATAGAATGTAAGTAAATTCAATTCAATAAAAAAAAAAGAATGGTCTATTGGCACTCATTTTTCTCTTTTTCTGTTATTGGAGAAAATAAACAGTAATTTATATTGATAACTTTGGTAAACTGGTAGGTAATATAAATCAATACATGTATAATACAAGCCTGAAAGCTGTGGGTTTCATTCATGACGAAGTCATTGGATTTTTCTACTGACTTAATCATTCCAGTGGCACTATGACCTTGGGATCAACTCTGCCTCTAACAGAAATGAGTATCAGGAATCTTCCTGGGGATAAAAGGTGGCCAAAGCATGATGATGACAACCTCACCGCCATCTGTCAGCTGACTCTAAAAAATGTGGCAGCCTCGATGTCTCACAACTCTATGGGCCTCCATGGCCTCTTACATGGATAATGTCACATTTTCTTAATCTACTCATTTTATTTGAAAAACTGTATTTTAAACAGAGCACAAGTGACATCACCTGCAGCTACATCAATCACAAGTAAATGTAAAGTTCTCCCTGTGATTAACTCATTATGCTCTATGCCACGAAGCCAAATGGGGGAGTGGATGTATAGATCCACGTTTTCTTGACCTTGGCACTAGCTGGAGGTGAGTGGTCAGCTTCATGGCCCTACCAATTTACCCCCAGGAAAGAGACCCCAGGTACCCATTGAGAATGTGGAGAAGAGAAAATTCTTGACCCTACTGGGACTCAAACTAGGTTGTCCAGCCTGTAGCCAATTGCTATACTGACCATGCTACCATGGCTCCCAGTAATCACAAGTACTGATGGCAATACAACATAAGCAAATGACAACAATCTCCATAACCTGCTTTCTTTGTTTATCTTCATAAAGAGAATAAAAATAAGAAACATTCCCCTATGAAAATAACAGGGGAAAAGAATACAAATTCTGTCAGAATAGCCAAGATTTGAAACAGATACCTCCATTTAAAATTGTGGACATTGGCAAACCAGTCTACTTGACTGATCTTAATGCTCTGACTAGTGACCTCTATTAAACATATCCTTCCCCATTTATGCAGAGTAAGAACAAAGAAACCTTTGCATAAACAGTTGTAAGGGGACCCAAACACACTGCTTTTACATCTTATACATAAAATTAAATTTAAAAACAAACAAACTGATTATTTATGTTATGAGGATTGATATTAGCTTTGTTCATCCTGTAACATAAACCTTTTTGGTGAAATTATCCATCTACCTTACATAACATTCTAAAAGTATGAGGCAGCCTCTTACATCAGCTGAAAGTTCAGGATATTATAAAGTTCTAGTATTTAGAAGTGACAGTCCAGGAAAACCTGCACAGTGGATGGGCAGGCCCATTCATGAAAGTTGAGGGGTGTTGTGATTAGTCATTCCTCTGCATTCAATGCAAGCAGACATCTCAAGAGCATTCTTCCTTGTACAGTCAAGTTAAAAACTTCTGACTCTTGGAGTCATATTTGAGAGTATTATTCTCTAATTACTGTATTAATATTTTATTTTATTGTTCATTTTTATTCGTTGATTTTCTTTTTTGTTTATTTATATTTGTACATTTTGTCTATCTCCTTTAACATGCCACCTACACGAAGTAAATTGAGTGGAAAAGTGTTGCATTCACAATCAAGAGAAATTGTTAGTAATGTATATAATTATATGAAAGAGGCTGGGCCAACAGTTACAGTGAAGAACATATGAGTGGAAGTAGCAAAGGCAACAGGTGTATCGGAAAGTAGTGTCAGAAGAAGAATAATAAGAGAAATAAAAAATATCGTATCTGGGGCTTCCACTTCCTTTTCAACACCCCATAAAGAAAGACCTAGGAAATCTCCACTAGCCCCTTTGGACGACTTTAACGAGTCTGTGGTGCGAAGAACTTCTACATAGTCGAAAAACGGAGACCAACCCTGAAAAAAGTTCACGAAAAGTTGAAGAAAACGTTAGATTTTCAGGGATGCATCTCCACATTGAAGAAAATTATTTTTAAACTTGGGTTCCACTGGAAGAAAACAAAAAATAATCGGCAGATACTGGTGGAACGATATAATATCAGAGCCAAACGTCTTCAGTATTTGTGGCAAATTAAAGAATATAGGGAAGAGGGCCGCCCAATCATCTACATGGATGAAACCTATATTCTTTCATCACACACCACCCCATATGCATGGAGTGATGGATGCATCCAGGGATTATTTTTTCCCCCGTGTCCAAAGGCTAACGGCTCATTGTTATCCATTCAGGGGGAGAGCAAGGTTTCATCCCTAATGCCTATGTCCGCTTCAAATCCCATCAAAAAACAGGAGACTACCACAGTGACATGAACTACACCAATTATAAAAAATGGTTAAAGGAGCAACTTATTCCTAACCTTCCCCCAAATTCTGTCCTTGTCATTGATGATCCCTACCATAATGTACAAGTAAACAGAGCCCCTAACTCAAATTCAAGAAGAGATTTTATGATATCCTGGCTAAAATATCACCTTCCACCTATTACCTTCAATAACACTGATTTTTCATCATTGCGGAATCCAGACATATCTTGTAATATGATCCTACCACTCAAGCCGAAATACCTTTCCTATAAAATAAATGGAATCTTTGCAGAAAGCAATCACGATATTTTACGACTCTCTCCATATCACCCAGAATTCAACCCAATTGAGTTAATATGGGCCACCGTAAAAAACCNTATTGTAACCTCTTCATGTATATAACATTGAAAAATGTATAATACTGTATAGTGCATAATAGTCTGCCATTCGGCACTTAACACTTAACATCAGATGTGTGAACATCAACGAGACTAAACCACCATCACTATGCAACGCAATGAGGTAAGAAATCATTTCCTTTCGAGAACGCATGTACTGCATTCCCTGCCACACTTGTANTGATTCATCTGGTGATGACAAGGACAGGCATGTGGAGATGATATCTGTGCGGACATTGCCGGTGTTGCTCTTTAGAACAGACCCATGTAATATGTAACCTCTTCATGTATATAACAGTGAAAAATGTATAATATTGTATAGTGCATAACAGTCTGCCATTCGGCACTTAAAACTTAACATCAGATGTGTGAACATCAACGAGACTAAACCACCAACACTATGCAACACAATGAGGTAAGAAATCATTTCCTTTCGAGAACGCAT